CGGGAGCGCGGGCAGAGCCGGGAGCAGGAAGCTCCAGGGGAATTTGGAATTTGCTGCCCTGGAAAGGCTCAGTCAGGGCTGCCCTGGAGCAAAGGCAGCAGCTCAGTTCCTGTGGAAGCTTTTGTGCTGTATCGGATCCATGAATCACTTTCCTGATTCCTCTGTGCAGGTTTTAAAGTGGAGTCCAGTAAAAAGCAGATTTCTTTAAAGTACACTCAGTCCTACTTCCTTTTGGATGTTTGGGCTCTCATTTAATAATATTTATCCATACTAAATTTATTAGCAAATGTAGAAAGTGAATTATTCATTCAAGGCCCTTTTGTACCTTAGTGCTTCTCAGTAGTGTTTCAACTGGTAATTTGAACATAATTTCCTCTTTTCATGTGTTAAACCCTGCTTGTTGTGGGAACCACAGATTTTTTTCTCTTACACATTTCCATCCTTCCTGTGCTGGTACTGAGTCTAACCTTAAAAACACCAATATCTATTTATGCCCAAAGAAATCATTTGTAACTACATTGCCAAACACTTACTGTGTTTAAAACATTTTAGGCTGCTAAAGGTTATTCTTCGATTTTGGTGAGTTATTTTTGATTTTGGTGGGTTTGTTTTGCTTTGTTTGTGGGTTGTTTTTCTGGGGGTAGGGTTTGTTTTGTGGTCAAATAAATGTTCCCCTGTTCATGAAATGTCTGCAATAGTTGGAGTTCTTGAATCAGCTTCCAAGGGGGCTGCACCTGTCTGTTCCAGCAAACAATGGTGAATTTGAGCATTGTTCTGGGTTTATGGACATCCTGTGGGGACTTTGCCTACAACAAGCAAGGTCAAGGCCGCTGACTCTGCTGTTCCTGTCTCTGAGCCATTGCCTTGTGCTGACCTTTGATCTCCCTCTTTAATTGCAATTGTTAATGAAATAAAGGCCTCCTTCCAGGCTCGATTTACATAATTAATTTTATCAATTACACAGAGAATTATTCCTCCACTTTTTAATGTCATTGCAGGTGATGGCTGTTTGATAGTGGCTGCTCACTTCCTGTCACTCTGACCCCCTCCACATCCTGGGGAAAAAATAAAGGAATCCCATCATAGATCAAAAACCATGAAGGCTGAGTTTGGGAAAGGGTGTGAGAATTTCAGAACTGAAAAACATTCACAGGAAGGAGCTTAGAGATGCCTGAAACAATTCCTGCCAGTAAAGGATTACAGCAGCTACAATTTGAATTTTTGCTTTGGGGTCAGACATTTTACCTGTGTGCTGTTTCCTGACGTGGCACAAATTCTGCCATCAAACAAACAAAAAAGACCAAATATCCTGCTCCATTAGCCTGAAGTGCCATAAATAAATAACAAATATGGTTCTGTAACAATCATGGGTTCACTGAGCACCTGCTGTGCTTGCCTCATGCTCAGAATTATGAACAGAGATAACATGAGGTTATTTCTGCAATAAAGTTATTTATTGCTACAATAACCCACTGCTCTCTTCCTTGTTGCTCAGGGCACTTACCTGTCCTTAGCCTTTAAAATCTCTTTTACCTGTTCTGGGAAGTGAGAAGGAAAAGGATTCCTGGGACCTGGCCAGTTTTTCGTGGAGTTACCTGCTCTCATTTCTGGAAATTCAGTTTGTGATCTGCTGCAAACACCAGGGGAGTTTATTTCTGAACATCCTGTGCCTTTGGGAGGAGGGAGAAGCTCACCATGGTCTCCTTTCCTGACCCTTTGTTCCTGCACACTCCAATTGCCTGTGCTGTTTGTCTGAACTTCTTGTGCAATCTTTCCTGCAGTTTCTTCTGTGAAAATACCCAAATCAGACAATGGTTGGAAGTGGCAGAAACAGCAGAAAATCTGAGCAGAGCAGGCCCCAGCTCTGAGCTGCCAGAGAAATGGCACTACAAGCTGAAGGTGCACTGTGAAATTTGTCCATTTGTCAAGGAAAAGTCCTTGAGATTGATTTAATTATTTGAATTTTTGGCCTGTGGGATTATTTCTGTGGGTGAACAGTGTGACAGGGAGGAATGGCAAGAATTCCCAGAGCTCTCCCTACCATTAATGAAGAGCTGACTGAGGCAGGAGAGAGCTCAGTGTTGTTACAAGGTAATCTTTAATTCTGTTGCACATTTTTATTAATTTTAATTCAGTGGGAGCCTTCCCAGGTCATCCCATCCCTTCTCCTGCCAGGAGGGAGCAGCAGCTTCCCAGGGCACCACCTTGTGGTCGTGGTAAAACTCGTAAAAAAGGAGCCAAGGCCTCAAATTGACTTTGGAAATTAGAAAATGTATTGTATTTATTATGTTAAATTATAAATTCTTACATCTGCCAGCCATCTCCATCGCAAATATGTTTAAATAATTAACAAGTTAATTAAGTTATAACTTGGAGAAAAACAGGAGGTGTAGTTTTGCTTATTGAAATGGTCAGAAAAGGATCTAGCTGCAGTATATAGCAAATGTATTGAAAAATAGGTATTTATTAGATATATTAAATAAAAATAAAATGAATATATGAATATATTCAGTTCAGATTCAGTTCTTGCTATTCACACACACACAGAGACTGAAAAATAACCCCAGTCAATAATTTACATACTTCAGGGAGTTGATGGAAGGTTTTCCAGCTTGGTTCTTTCAGAAAATCTCTATTTCAGATGATCTTAACAAAGAAATACATCACAGATTGGTGTAACTGGAGATAACCTGTTCCAGGGTTGTGAAGCAGTCCAGGAAATCCTCCTCTTGGATTCCAAACTTTGTGTACTGGTGAAGGTAAGCTCTGTGTGTGGAAGAATGGGTCAGACATTAGAAATCAGTGAAGATATTGGTAATTAGTGAAATATTAGCATAATCATTTTCACTTACTTGGAAGCAAACATATTCCAAGCTTTTCCCACGATGCTGTCAAGAGGTTTGAGCAGGAACTGGCTGTTGCTGACCAAAGCAGCAGATTTTTCATACTTGTTAAATGCTCTGGGAGTTTTCCATGCAGTGAAAGCATCCTGGGGGTTTAGCCATGATGTGTATAAGGAGGGATCTTGGAAACTTCCTGCAGCAGAAACAGGACAAAACCCACAGCTGATCCCTGAGTGCCTCATCAGTGCTGTCACATCAGTTCAGGCCTGGGAAAGCATCTGCAGTGGGCAGCCTGCTGAAAATACAACTTTTGAACAGATTCCTCAGATTATCTAGCAGCACACTGCTGTGGATATTCCACCTGCCAGCAATGCTCACCACTCCAGAAACAGCTAAATTTATTTTCAGGCATTATAGCCAAGAATTCCAGATATACAGACTTGAGGCTCTTCCTCTTTCCCTAAAGTGCTTCAGGAAACTCAGAAGTAAAACACAACAGCCCAAAGCAATTAGACAGTGTAGCTTTGGACAGTAAAACGTTTCTAGAGGGAATATCAACCTTGGGAGTCACATGTGTGGTCCTGGGCTGTTCCCACTTGCCTCAGGTGTGGTTGCACAGGCAGCAGTGGGATGTGAGCCCAGACCCCTGAGGGCTGTGCTGCTCCCTTACCCAGCTCCACGCTGTGCACATCTTTTCCCCTCAGGATGAGCAGGTTGGCAATGGAGGTGTTGAAGTGCAGGGCTTTGTTTGTGCAGGGGATGCAGGAGCCTGCCTGTGGTGGTCGTACTTGCCAGTCAATGCCTTTGGGATTTGGGAAAAAGATGGAAAAGCAAGTGAATGTTCTGTGAAATGCAGGTGGGAACTGTCACTGTGCCCCAGGCTGAGACCACCCTGGGGTTTGCAGCAGCAATCACACAATTCCCAGAGAAACCACTGCTAACCCAGCAGGATTTGCCTGGCAGTCAGGGCCACAGAAAATGGATACCTGCTTCTATACTTAGCAAGGCCCCAGCCCATCCCTTGCATAACTGGGAGCTGTAACTGAACCCTCCATGTAAATGACATGGGAGAGCTGAGCCTGATTTTTATGCATAGAAGGTGTAAAAAGAAAAAGCAGAGCTCCCACCCAAGGAATGCTCCAAATGAGTTATGTAAATGAAGTGCACAGCCACAGACTGTCAGTTTGGTTTGTGTGTTTCCAACAGTTATAATTAACTGAGATGTCTGGAAGCAGAGCAGGAACAGTCTGAGGGAATGTGAAAGGAGCAGCTGCTTTGGTGGGGGCAAATTCCTGCTGAGGGCAGCAGCTTCTCTCTGAACTCTACAAACCACGCAGCTTTAGTGCATCTGCACAAATGAATGTTTAAAGAGGGATGGGCTGGGGTTTATTTACCTTCCTCCATCTGAGCATTGGCAATGAGCATCTGCCTGAGGAGGCCAGGCCAGCTGAAGGTGCTGTAGGGCAGGGAGCTCTCAGCCATCTGGGGGATGTTCCTCAGGCCCAGCATCCTGAACTCGGGGTGTGGCACCAACGACTCCAGCAAATCTCCTGAAAGGAGAAAGCCACAGCTGCTCATGTCTGACAAAGATACTGCACAGGGCAGCTAAAATGGGGGCAGAGTGAGGGATGCTCAGATTTAGCAATTTCAAAGCCATGCAAACTTGCTGTGTGTTACTAAGTTCTGTACAGGGGGTTAGTAGCTTTTATTTTACAGTTTAGTTCAAAAATCTCAAGGATTCTCTCTGCACTCCAGACAGATGTGAAAGTTTAATTTTAGAAGCAATATGGGCAACTTTCTCTAATTCTTTCAAGGTACAAATGTCAGTCTGCTGCACATTGCTACCCAGGTGTCTGCTCACCTCTTCTGCCTAAGCAAAACTCAAAACTCTCAGTTTGTTTCAGCTCATACAAACTTCTAACCCAAAGTGAAATGTGAAATTCAGTCCAAAATTACTGCCCTGAGCAAATTTCCTCTGAAATGTAAACAGGTACAAGGCTGTCTGTGATCACTTGTAAAAGGAGAAACAGGGATTTTGGTAAAGAATGAAACCAGAAGTTGGGGGGATCTATTTTTGACTCTGCTACAACATTGGGATTGAACTTCTTTTCCTGTCTTAAAACTTGGGATGTTTCCAAACACTTGAGCAAGGAGA